TGTAGGAAAAGGGGGAAGAAACTAATTTGTTTAGTAGAAAATGCAGAGACCTGACTCATCTTCTATAAAGTTGTAGCCTACTCTGAGGAAAATTCTGGCATGATATGATTGTTAGCGCATTTTCTGGGTTAGATTAGGAAAACTGGAGCTCTGCATCCCCATGCAGATCATTTATTAGTTGTAAATAACTCAGAGATGAGTATCTGGAGGTGATTGACAGCTAAGAGGTCTACCTGTCACTGTGCAGTTGTTTTTTTTTTTTTAAAAAAAAAAAAAAGGAGGAAGGACTTGTATTTTTATCATAGTTACCACACTAGGAGACATTGACAGATGAAGTAGAAAACAGAATAAATAAGGATATGGCTACTGAGAATGACATTCTTCCCATTATTGATGAAAGTGCTATCAATAGAAACACTGCAAGTAACAAGTGCAGTGTAAACACATTGCCACTGCCTACGGATACTCACTCGTATTGATTAACTCAGAGTTTAAATATTTGGCAACGAGACACTTTCTTACAATTTTTAAAAGTCTTTCAAAGGCAAGCTCTACTGCAAATGTGGATTCCTATAGACTTCAAAGAAATGAAATTGTCAAGTGTATTCTGTTGGATAACATTGGAATATATTAGAAACAAAAGCTTCTCTCTATGATAACACGTCAGTCATGCACTTTTTAGCAACCAAAGGATCAAAGTATGGGAAGCATAGCACTTAGAAGACATATTTTGTGGTTAGTATAATGAAGATATTCCAAGTTCTAGGATTCAACTTAAACCATTCTTGGAAAAAATTTCAGCCGTTAAGTGCAAATGTTAGACTAAAATGTTTTTTTGATAAGGCATTCATTTCAAGTGGATAAGGAAAAAAGGAAATTAAACTTTATTTTAGTGATGATAATATTGGGCTTATGTTAAAAGTAGCCCTTGCTTGTGGAGATATGTCCTGAAATATTTATGGGCAAGCAGTAGAATTTTTTTGAATTTTTTAAAAAGTAGCTCACAGGGAATGGGAATAGCAGTTTCGATGGATATGTGTATAGGGAAATATGTAAACACAAGATGGGGCCGTGTTTAAATTTATTGGTGGCAACATGAGGCCTATAAAGTTCTCAGAAACTTTTTCATAACGAAAAGTTAAAAAAACATATACACACAAAACTAATACTTAAATTCTAATGAGGCAAAAATATTAATAGGTAAGAAAGTTATAAATCATGAATAAGTAGATGAATTATATGGCTAGGTAATAGGCAATACAATTTCTTTTTGAAGTAACATATTTTTAAATAGATCAGACTGTAAATTAAAATGCTGGGTCAGAAACTAGTCATAATTCACTTTTCCTGGAATGAACTAGGGACTTTAATAAGCAGTTAATGACAGATTGTATTTTGCTTGTAATATATGGTCATGGCCTAGAAAAGTATAGTATCAGTGTGTGTCCTGGAAATAGCATCCAAGACTGGCCAGAAGTGCATGGCAGGGGCCTGTGGTCCAGAGCCATGTGACGCCTTTGATCAGGTACACAGACTAGTCCAACCATGCCCCCTTTATGATGTGCTTCCATCTATTGCAAGATAAAGTAAGAAGAAATAGGAATCTTCTTGAAACACACATGTGATAAGTATGTACTTTTACATTCTTTGTCTGAAAAATGATATTCTAATTTTTGTGAAGACAAAACTCTTTCATTTTTAAACATTTCAATATAAACTACTAAACATAGAAATAAAAAATAACTCATAATTGTCGAAGAAAGAATGAAATTCCAAGAACAGCACTCTTCTAACACAGTTGGGTACTTAAATATTATGTAATTGCTTATTTAATTTTTAAGATATGTGATATTTTGTTTTTAATAAGAGCATTGTCTTTCCTTATGCTGTGAAATATGGTTTTACATATGACTTGTTGTTTGTATATTTGAGACATTCTCTGGGAAACTGGGAGTATGATGAATCTTTTTGTGAAAGAAATTCTTTGAAGTATGTTGCAATTCCTTTTGTGACTTTGCATGTCACTTTGGAAAACTGAATCATGTCTACCCGGTATATTTTTTCTGTATTTTTCATTAGATACCATGGTTTATAGGTGACTAGGAGACCAGGCTTCTGGGTTGTACTGCTAAAGTCTCAACGGCATTGTTAGTTTTCTTCCAGTGTGAACCCTCTGTTGATTGAGGACCACCATAATGCTAGGGGATCTGGTAATATCTTATAGCTCTGAGAGCTCTGTTTTATTTATTTGAGACTACATTATATGTTGTATACATTATATATTTTATATATTCTATATATGTTTTCCTTTCAATATGCAGTATGTATTTAAATTTGATTCCACTTTTGACTTATGCTACATTTGCATTTTGTACAATGTGTACAATTTATCTTATTCATTTTTATGTCTTACAGCTTTTCTGAAATAGCCAACTTTAAATAATTTTAATGCCCATAACACAAAATTTGAATTTTGCTTATTATTCTGCCATATAACATTTTATATTTCATTTTTTATTTATCTACTTTAATTTCATGATTTTTGATAAATAAGATCACATTTTATCTTTGCAAAGGTAGTAGTATGGTAGTAGTTGGTGATACACTTAAATGTATGCTCTCAACTGTTTGAGGTATTTGACCCTGGGACACTTAGATTTAGAAATAATCTCATTACTTGAATCCTTTGTGAACATGCTCTTCTTTGGTCACTACTGGAACATCTTCTCAGTCATGTGTTATTCTTTTTCTTGCTTTCTAGATATTAGAGTTCTTTAAAGATCAGTGCGTGTGTGTGTGTGTGTGTGTGTGTGTGTGTGTGTATGTGTGTGTGTGCAGAAAACAGGGCACTAACTTGAGTGTCATTCCTTAGGCTCCTCCTTTTTGAGACAGGGCTTCTCACTTGCCTGAAATTTGCAAAGCTTGCTTGGCAGACTGGCCAGTACCCACCAGAGAGTCTCCAATCTCCTCCCAGCATTGGGATTATGTGTGTGTGTGCACGCGTGCAAGCGTGCACATGTATATCAAATGTGGATTCATATCTTCCTGCTTGTGACACTTTTTCATCTGCGCTATATGCCTAGCTCCTAATGTGCATTTCTTTATTTTCATCTCTCTTTGTCTCTCTTTTAATATACTTTATCAATTAGAAAAATTTTGGGCTATCATAGCAACTGAGTGAAAGTTAGAGTTTTCCAATGTATCCCTTCACCCACCCAGGTTTAGCTTCTCTCATTCCTCATAACTCCCTGTTATGAATATCCCTCGCTAGAGTGATGAATTTGTCACTACTGATGAATGTCTTTCAACATTTTATGAAGCAAAGTCTTTTAGACTTTAAAGTAGAGTTCACATCAGAGCTCACCATTGGTATATCACAGTGCCACACAGAGTGGTTTTACTGCCCTACACATTTGTGTGCTCTCATTTATCCTTCCTTGCTTAACAACCAACACTCTTCCTAATATTTCCACTTTTGCCTTCTATAAAATGTCATTTTTTATCCAAACCATTTATCCCAGCCCACTGACTATGGGGGCGAAAATGTACCAGACTAAGCCCATCCCTGTATGGCCTTTTTGAACTGACTTCTATTAATACAAACTGAAGTTTCTTCCATGTCTTTTCTGACTTCCTAGATAATGTTTTCTAGTGCTGAAAAATAAACCATTGACTGTATGCACTGTAGTCAATCCAGTCATCTCCTAACAGACATATTGATTGTTTATAATTTGGGCAATTGTAAATAAATCTGCTGTAAGCATTTTTTTTGTTCAAATGCCAATTTTCAGTCCCCTTGGATGAATATAAAGGATTAAATCTGGTGATTGTGAAAGAACATGTTTAAGTTTATAAATTTTATAAGACAGTTCCAAACTGTCTTCCAACATACCTTTCTACCAACAAATAATGGAAATCCCTGCTTTTCCACATTTTCCACAGCACTTTGCAAAATAAGTGCTCTTTCTTGTTTGTGTGCAGTATAATAGGTATGTAATAGTATCTCTTTATTTTAGTTTTCATTTCCCAATGATCTTTCACAAGGAGTATTTATCTCCTCACTTTCTATACTTATTTCTTTTCCAGGGAAATTATCTATTGAAATGTTTGGTACATTTGTAATCAATTTGTACATTTTTATATTGTTAAAATTTAAGAGTCCTTTGCATATTTCTGGTAAAAATTCTTTATGTGAATTCTTTGGCAAACATTTCTGCTAATTTTTGACTTGTGCTTTTATTCTCCTGATATTTTGCAGAACAGAAATTTTTAATGAAATATTGACAAAGGAGAGAACATGAAACAGTGAAACCGAGCTACTCTTGAACAAAGAGAGCTAGAACAGCTAGGTATCTACAAATAAAGGAAGGAATTCAAAAACAGCCGTTTTTCCACCATAAAAATTAACTCATATGCATAATATAAAATGCAAACCTAAAAAGCATTAAAAAAAATCAAGATGATTTTGAGTTCATCAATGATGACTTATATCCAGGGCTAAAAGCATTTTCTATGAGAGGAAAAAATGCTAACTTAGATTTTATTAAAATGTGTGTACTTTCTCACTCTAGGTTGTTGCTGAACAGTATCGCCACATTCATAATTTCAATTCTCACTTTTGTATTTGACATAGAATCACATCCTCGATACAGGTTTACCTCCTGATTATAGACTGTTTCTTCTTAACATTCATGCGTATTTCAACTTGTTAGCTCTATAGTTTCCCCAAGAACAGTTTGTAGACAGCCAAAGTGTTTGTCTTCCTTTTTAAAAACGGATATTTAGGAGCCAGCAAGACGGCTCAGTTGGTAGGAGCACTTGCTGTGCAAACCCAATGTTCTGAGTTAGATCCTGGGAATCCATGTAAAGGTAGGAGAGACGTGACCTCACAACGTTGTGTTCTATCATCCCCATGGACAGACACATTATACAAACATGTGTGCAATAGCAATAAATAAAATCTGTACCTGGAAAAAAAAAACCATGATCTTTGTGATTTGTCCACTCAGAATGCCTTCTCTGTCTCTCCCTCTCCCAAAGGAAGAGAACAACAATTAGCAATGGCAAGAGGCAGCTGCAGGAAAGCAAGACCAAGAAGCAGCTTCTCACTCAGGAGGGAAGGTTTCTTTTAATCCTTGTGGGCTCGGACACTCTACACAGTCCCAGAAACTTCTCTAGTCATGGACCATATCTGATCCCTGCAAGTATAGTCTTTGCGTGATCTCTATATTTGTTCCTTAAATTGATAACTTTCTAAAACCAGCACTCATTTCATGCTTAGGTCAGAATCTGTCACTCAAAGCATATTTCTATTTTTTTAAATCATTAATTTGGTGCTATTTGCATCAATTATTATAATCTCATCCTTGATTTTCAAAAAGTCAGTTTTTTCCATATTCATCAATAATTAGTTTCTCCCTGATATTCTTTTTTTAAAAAAATCTATAATGATTGTGTTAGTTTTCTCCTCTGCCCTCAGAAATTTACTTCATCACCATCCTCAGCATGACACACTCAAGTGTATATATGACCATGCTACTTGTTGTTTTCTTCATTTGTTTGTTTTCAAGGTAGAAATGATGATACAAATAACTTAAGAAAAATATAAATTTAACAGAATGTATGTGGCATGTTAGGCACCTTTCAAATTTCCCAGTATTGTTTCCTACTGCTTTTCTAATTACCTTGATCTATAATGACACCCAACCTTCCATTTTTAAAACTTTACACGCTGAATTACAAATCAACATTGTATTGGTGTGTTTCTTGTTTTGCTGGGAACAGATTCTCTGTCCTTTAGCATCTTTCTGATTGTTAGATTAGGGACAGACTATGATGATTGGGAAAGAAACAAGAGCACAACTCCAACCTCAACGGAAGAAAACTGCCCTTAATTAGAACAACAAAAAGCAACAACCTTTGTGGGAGTGGTGATTGAACACTCAGGAGTCTTTGGGACAGGCTTACATCAGAAAGTTGAGGGTACAAGGAGAGATCCCCAGATTGTTCTCTGGACAGAGGAGAAGGTGCCTGAAACGGCCTTGGCCCATAACCATTCTGATGAATATTTTGCTTATCACCATAGAACCTTCATCTGGCGATGGATGGAGATAGAGACAGAGACCCACATTGGAACACTGGACTTAACTCCCTAGGTCCAAACGAGAAGCAGAAGGAAAGAGAACGTGAGCAAAGAAGGCAAGACCAGAGGGAACCTTCATCCGACGATGGATGGCGATACAGACGGAGACCCACATTGGAGCACCGGACTGAGCCCCCCAAGGTCCAAATGAGGAGCAGAAGGAGGAAGAAAATGAAAAAGGAAATCAGGACTTCGAGGGATGCTATCACCCACTGATACAAGGGGACGGATCTAATGAGAGTTTACCAAGGCCAGTTGGACTGGCACTGAACGAGGACGCAATCCAACCAGATTCTCTGAATGTGGCCAGATTCTCTGAATGTGGCTGGCCCGGAGTCTTTCTGAAAAGTCATTGACAATGACACTGGGACTTGTTTCCTCTGCATATACTGGATTTTGGGGATCCAGTCTGTCTGGACACTCACCTTCCTGGACCTGGTGGGAGGGGGGAGGAACTTGAACTTCCCAGAGGGCAGGAAACCCTGACTGCTCTTAGGGATGGAGAGGGAGGAGGAGAGGGAGTGGGGGGAGGGAGGGTGTTGGGAGGAGGGGCGGAAATGGAAACTTTTATAATTTAATAAAATTACTTTCTCATAAAAAAAAAGAAAGTTGAGGGTAGGGAAGTTACAGGTGTTAAGCATGGGCTATGACAGGTTTTTCTGAGAATACGTAAGTGTGGAACAGCCCAGTGGACTGTCTAGGGTTGGGGTCACAGAGTGGAACATCTCTGGGTCAAACCAATGTTAGACCAAGACTGATTACTTTCCCAATTGTTGAATTGCATCATCATGATAGTGCCTCTGCTTCCTCAGGTTACATCTGGGCTACTTTTCCTGTGTTCCCCTACTACCTTGGTTATTATTAGGTAACACCAATTCAGGGAATTTTCTTAAATAAATGATTGTTCAATGGAGTTTTAGAAGAGTTGCTGACAGTGGTATGTGGTTCACTACTATTGACCCAGTGAAAGTAATTATGCAGCAGATCCTGCCTCAAACCAAGGACATTGAGACTCATCTGAGTTCAGACTGAACGTCTGTGTCTGCATCCCTAGCATCCTTAAGTCGGAAGTTGAAGCAGTGATGGTGAGGGCCATCAGGCAAAGATCTTCCATTATCATTTTTTTAATTGTCACTCATGATCTTCCTTGAAGCTAAATATTAGACATATTTATCTCACTGAAAATTAAAAAAATGTTTAGACAAAAATGTATAACTTTATAATGAATGGGGAAATAATCATTGGAATCTTCTTAATCACTATGTCTTCTTTGGTAACTCTATATTTCCATTTTTTTGTTTAAATCACTTGACTTAAATACATGACTTGTTCAAGGATATTTTTCTATAAAACTTACCAATTGTTATATCCTTTTAAACTCTACCTCTAGAACGTGAAGTTAAAAGTTAATCATAAACCGGAATGCCATGGTTTTTCATGCTCACAGCACAAATACATATGAAACTCTTACCTCTGGCCTAGAAATGAATTATCTAAATTCATTTCATTCACTTTATACTGAGAGGATATAAGTAATAATATTTGGTTTTTCTGGGCAAGCGAATGACAAAATGTCTGGAATACATGAATATTCTCAAGACCAAAACAGCATTTGCTTCCGACTCAAATAAAAGCTCCAAGATTTTAAGCCTTTGTAGCAAGACGGATTCATTAAAAATTCAAGTGGTTTCAGAAGTCTGAACTTTGGGGCTTTCTAGCAGACTTGAAACTAAAAATTAATGCCTTGTATAGGCTTAAGCTTTATTCCTAACTTATAGTACATCTTTGGAGCACTTTTTCCCAAGTAAATATTTTTAGAAGATTCTATAGCATCTTCCCAGGTTAGCCTTACTTGAGTTATGCTGTGTGGATTCGGAAGACTTGGGCTCTAGTGTGTTTTGTATCTTAGGTGGCTGCTGAACTTCTGGCTGGCATACATCCCTCTCACAACTTCCATTATCTAATCTCTAAACTTGGGGTCACATGTGTCAGAACATTTCCTATGGCATGATTAATAAAAATCCAGAGACAGATAGTAGGATTCAACCTGAAGGTCAGAAAAACAAAACAACCAGCTACTGGCTCTTACCCCTACTTCAGTCTGAAATGGCAATCCTGCCTCCAGGAATCTCAGAATGAGAGTTGTTTCCTTCCATTTTAAAGTCCTCTCTTGGGCTGGAATTAAAGGCGTACATCACTAGCACCCAGTTTCTATGGCAAATTAGTGTGGCTATTTGGATTAAAGATGTGTGTCATCAATTTCTGGTCTATAAGACTGACCAGTGGGACTGTTTTACTCTCTGTTCTTCAGGCAAGTTTTATTTATTAAAATACAAATGAAATATTGCTACTATCTCCACAGTCATCAAAAACATATTTTCGCATTAAAGAATTCTATACTAACATTATACATATAACTTTTCCTCAGATTTTTAAATTATGGACTCCATGATCCAAACATTATATACATGAAAGAGGTGTTTAAAGAGACCTGCTAATTGATTCAGATAATACTAGTTTGGTTTTGTCTGGGGAAATTTAAATAGTAGAATAAGTTTGTACACTGTCATTTGAAATGGTATATGGTCCCTGAAATAATAACTCATACAGCCCCTTCTCGCCATTGCTTACGTTTTGGCTAGATTTTGAATTATTGCAGTTTATTTATTTATCTTCTATCATTTATACAGCTTTTATTATCGCATTCCAGGCATTGTATGAATAAGACTCATCTCTTCAAATGGCTTATATTTTATTGGTCAAAATACAAGTAATAAACACTGAAATGAACATGGTGGGTCATGGAGCATCTGTAAACAGTAAAGGCGGTGAGATGGCTTCCCTGACTCCGTGGATGGTCAGGGTTTAGCAGTTGGTGTTTTCTTTTAAGTAAGTAGCAGATGAAATAAACCATGTAAAGCCGCAGGAGGAGGGGTCTGGACTGGTAGCTGTAAGGAAGTGCTGTCAGACAGGAAGAGAGACAAGTATGCGACAGTAGAAAGAACAGGCGATGTAGTCTGTCTTAGCAAAAGTTCTGCTCGTCCCTAGTCTTTCCTTGCCTGTTTCAGGGAGAGGAAGAAGGACACAAACTTGGCTTGAACAAGACAGGGGAAGCAAGGACATGTCTGGGAGTACTGTTTATTCCAGACTGATGAGGTTGGACCTTCCCATGAAAGCTGCAGTGAGCTACTGAAGAGGTCTAAGCAGGCTGTGACTTATTTTAGAAGTACTGAAATTTGATAGTAATACCAAATGTGGATGACTAGCACAAATCCTGGAGAGGGGGTGATGAGATGGAAAGGTGAAGGTAAAAAGGAGCCCAGTGAAGAACTTCAGAGAATCATGGGAATTGAGAATTGTATCCCTTTTAAAGAGCCATCAGTGACTTTACATTTCCAACAAAAATAAAATCCAAACGTCTTCTGATGCTTATAAAGTGTCTTCAAAAGTTGTTTTAAAGTAAATGCAAAGAGGTGGCAATGTAACACAGGTCAAGAATCAGCTTGCCTGGACTGAACTCTCAGCCCACCTCAGTAACTGTAGACTTGCACAAACGACATGATTTCCTTGTGACTTGGTTCTCTAATTCACCAAGCAGGGATAAAAATTGTAAGAGAATATAAGTAAGAAATGTGACAATCCACTTAAAACACTTCACACAATTCCACCAAGAAGAACCCTGTAAATGCCAGCTAGGGCCCTCATGCCTTGGCACTCTTGGCATTCACTATGCTTCAACCTCGCTGGCCTTCTGACACACTGTAACATGAACCCTCTGGTGGTTTAGGATGAAACCTTTCTGGCCCTTAGTCTAGAACATTCCTTTTCTAATTTCCCTATTTCTTTCCTATCCTTCAACTCAGAACATAACTACCTCCATTGAATTCTTTGAATGCAAAATTTATACTCTAACATTATTATCCACTACAGCAACATATTTATAGTACTCATAGTTCTTAGCAGAAACTCTATTTTTTTTTCTTGTTCCTCTGCTTTTTTAATGTTTGTCTCCTTCACAGACTACAAACCCTCCTGAAGTCACTGTTTTCTTACATAGGTTTCTACCCACTGA